CTTGGGAAAATTAAATATTCAATGGAGGCTTCATTGTGTTTATATTTTTTTTACGGTAGCGATAAGTATATGCAATTATATACTTGCTATGTTGATGATGATTATGTTGTTGATGACACACTTGAATAGTCGAGGTCGACCATATGCGTGTTATTACTGTTGTTGCATGTTAAGAGTCCATGCATTCATGTTGTTGGAACTTCAGTTCTATTTTTTGGCGAGCCCTGATCCTATGGTGATGGATCGGGTGCGAGTTGCTAACTCCTTTATTTGGGCAATTAGTGAAGTGTTACCTATGGTGATGGTAGATATTTTGTGTACTCTGGTTCTAAGAGGGAATCAATCTTATGATAGGGATCATGGAGTGAAATGAACCCGAGTGTTCATATTTTGGTACCACATGCACGATGAGTCAAATATTGAGTCTATTGCATTGTTTTGCATTGCATGTTGTAGATAATATGTTGTTTAACGATTCATTAAAACATTGTTATATGTGATGATTGAATGATGAATGTAGGTGTGAGAATATGTTGTGATGTGATGTAGGATTATGTACATGTTGTGATTCATCTTATATCTTATATCTCATATCTTTTATGGTTGGATGTGATTTCTCGCCCCTTCTGTTTGAATGTTGCTTCCACGCAGATAACATGCAAATACTCAAGATTAGTTTACTGAATTAAGGATGATAGTTCATTGGAGTATTTAGTAGTTATCATTAATTTAGAGGTGTGTTTATTTGATATGTAGCATCGGGTTAGGAATGTTTGATTGAATTCTTTTTGTTATAACTATGTTGAAGCCTTTGCAAGGATTTTTGTTTGTCAAACTATTTTTATTTCAAATCTTTTATGAGACTATATGTCATGAGTTTGAAAGTTTAGAATATTTATTTAATGATGATTTCCACTGCGATGTTTTTAATATAATGTTGAAGTTACATAGATATTACGAATGTGCATGCTGATGAAAAGTTGGTATTATTTATATAACTTATGTTACGGAGTTGCATTGGTTTATGTTTTTATGACGTGTGATACCCTTGTGTGGTGATTCTAATTAAATTATTCATGAATTCTATGTGGGATTTAGAAGAGTGTTACAATTGACATGGACATATGCAAGCTATTCAACATCAGGTTAATTACAGAAACAAAATTCCCTATTTGTCTAGCCAACATGATATTGGTAAGGAAGGCAAACAACAAATGGCACATGTGCATAAACTTCATCGACCTGAACACCGCCAGTCCCAATGACCCATATCCACTACCGAATATCGACCGTCTTATCGATGGATCCTTATGCTATCAGATGTTAAGCTTCATGGATGACATTCAGGGTACAACCAAATTCAAATGGATCCCCTAGATGCCCTTAAAACAACATTCATGTCAAGTTACGACAACAACTACTACTTCTACTATTACTACTACTACAATAGCCTGTCATTTTACCTCAAGAATGCTGGTGCCACCTACCAACGACTCATGGATGTTGTGTTCTCCCATCAAATAGGGTAGAACCTAGAGGTTTACATTGACAAAATGATAGTGAAAACTAACATAGGACATAACCATGATGAATATTTTGAGAATATCCTATATTCAGTCAAGAAGTACGATATGCGCTTGAATCCCGTCAAGTGCTCTTTTGGGGTTCATGCCAGAAAGTTCCAGGTAAAAATTATAGTCTTGAGGTTGATGTTGGTGTTGGAGGTCTGAGCGAAGGCCCACATTGTTGGATATGAGAAGTAAATACTACAATTTGAGGAGGTTGGTGGAAATTTTGATGTAAAAGAGTGTTTACAACGGTCTGATCAATAATGCCTTAAGGAGGAAACTGCTGGATTCTTGCGACTTGAGGATGAAGTAGTGGTGGCAGCTTCACGCAAAGCGACAAAGTGAATGACTTTATATCTAGGAGTTATTGATAGATCTAGAGATGATATATTTGGTAATTTTAAAAATCAGAGTTGATCTGGTATTGAAATAGATTAAAAAAATAATAGATATGCGCTTTGATATCAAGAACTCTGATATGCTAGGTAGAGAAAGCTTCAAGTCAGTAAACTGAAGTAAGAGAATTCGATAGTGAAAAACAAAGGAATCAAAGGTCGATCCTCCTAAGCGGCGCCACTGCTCTGTTAAGGAATCAAGATTGATCATAGAACATAGGTTGTAGGATGCAACAATGGAGTTGAATTTCTGATGCGGTGAAAGAGGGACTGACCTGCAAGGCTACCACTTCAATGCTCAAGTCAATATGTGAATAAAATGAGCGAAAGGAGTTTGATTTAAAATTGTGTACTTGGAGAATGAGGCGTTTTTATTTATTTAGTGAAGCGATTGTAACCACCCACTATTATTCATGCGTAAGATGCGGGAAACCGTTGGATGTATTTGAACTTGAATTTCCTATGTTCTTCCATAAGGTAACACCCTTATGCTACAAGTGATTGGACGAATCATTACTTCTTTGGGCTGGGCTTGCTGGCTCTTTCGACTGACCCATAATATATTTTAACACCCATATTTATGGGCAAGTCTTATGAATAAATGCATAGTTGTCCCATTACATAAACTATAATGTGAATATCATTCCAATGGTTGAAAACTTCTTCCGAGACTGAAAGTAAAGAAGATATATGCGACACTTTCATTATCTTTATATCTCTTTCTTTGGTGCAGTTGCTTTGGTTGTAATCATGTCCAGTTCAACTCAAATTGATTTTTAGGATATTCTCCTCCACAATATTTAAGAAAAAAAATGTTTGTACAAATATTCTAGCAAAACTAAGAACTAATTGTGTGGATATATTGTTTATTATTTAAGAATCATGTATCTTTGTCCTTTGCTTTATTAGGTGATGTTGTTGGCTTATCGTTTTCTTAAGTTTAATTTTCTATTTCTCTTTTTTTGTTTCTTCTTTTGCACTCTGGTTCATAGGAAAATAAGTCGAGAGATTGGTCAAACATTGTTTCCACCAAAAACCGAACTCAGTAATCTCTAAACCTTTGTTCCTTAGCAGAAACTCGTTTTCTATTGCATGTGAATCACACATATTTTACAAGATTTAATTAAAGAGAAAATTAAATATGTACTATTAATATAAAATAATTTTACACTAACAATTAATCAATGATATGTATTATAGGGGTGGCAAAACGGGTCGTCCGTCCCGTCTTACTTTAAAAAAAGAGTGGAGCGAAGAAGCCCGTCAAGTAGAAATTGACATAGAAATTTAGCCCGCCTATTTTTTTGTTTATTTATTTTTCATTTCTTTTAATAAATCAATAGATTTTTTTACACTTTAATTACATTTTTCAGTTATTTTTTAGAATAATTTTTTATAAAAGTATCTATTAAATAAATTTTACTTAAAAATAATATATATATATATATATATATATATATATATATATATATATATATATATATATATATATTATATATATTATATATATATATATATATATATATAATATATATATATATATATATATATATATATATATATATATATATATATATTTATATATATATATAATATATACTATATTATATATATATATATATATATATATTATATATATATATATATATTTATATATATATATATATATATATATATATATTATATATATATATATATATATTATATATATATATATATATATATATATATATATTATAAGTAAAATGTATAAAATAAAATCATTAAGAATTAGAATGACTAAAATTAACTAAAAAATGACGAACTTAAGACAAAACAAGACTTAAGGCGGAACATTACTTAAGACGGAATAGACTAAACCAATAGGCGAGACGGGCTTTGACGAAGCAAACTTTTGCGAATCTAAAATTCTAATCCAATCTATCATTTTTCAACGGATACGCGGACCGACTTGACAGACCACAACCCATTTACCATCCCTAATATATTCAGTCAAAATTATATTATTTTATACTGAATGTCTATATTCATTAAACTCTTAACTAAATGAAAATTTTACAAAAATTTAAATTAAATCTATTATTAATATATAAACTTTAAAGTACATGGATATTCAATATATGTCCTTGTGACTTTAAGTTATAATTTTTCTAATTCTAGGATTAAATACGTTTGACAATAAATACGTTTGACAATAATAA